AGATAACCAGTAATATATTTTATTACATTTAAATTAAAACAAATAAATTAATCAATTTAAATTTAACTAAATTCGGAATTTAATTAGTTTTGACTTCCAAATTAATTATGTCATAATTAAGCGATAATTTTAGGGGAGAGCCGATAGCAAAATTTATTAATATCCATGAATATTCAATGCAGACCTCGCGAAATACTCGATACATATCTAAGAAATCAATCTGTTATCAAACTTTCATCATATGCACTCGGCAAATGCGGCTTCTGGTGAGTACATTTTTTTCCCCGACCGCAATTCCTTTCTCTCTTTCATTACCTTCATCGTGATGTTATGTAGCTTTACTACGTCGAAGAGCTCGGTAATCATCTACATATCCACGTTATTACGTACTAACAATATCGTAGAGTCTCGGTGTCTATCACCTAAGAATTCCAATATTGAGACTGTTTTATGTTTATGTTTTTATACTTGGCGTGGTCTTCCTGGCACCATAATGCACTTTTAAGAAATCTATATAAAAATATCGTGGAGTTGTCGTGTCCAGTGCGTTGAGTCGCGCGCGAAATAGGAATGCTCCTTGAACAAGGATGCGGGAATGGGATAAGAAACAGGGAGCCGAGAGAGATAAAGGATGGAGAAAGAGTAGCGGGAAAAGTCCGGGGAGAATTAGAGATAAATGGAAGGAAGAAAGCAGAGTCGGACACTCGGATTGAAAAATTTCATTCAGATAGAGAGGTCGAATAAACGACTGTCGTATTCGCGCGGACAAGATATTCCCCCTTCGAGTATTAAAAATACATTCTGTGAAAACAGACGGTCCCCTTTTCCGATTGGAAACTTGAAAAAGTTAAACGTTAAATATTTTTAAATTTTACGAAAAGCTATCAATTACACGAGAAAGCTTTCGCGAATGAATCCTTTGTCTTTCCATCGTATCGTCAAATAAATTATTCGGTATCTTTAGCGAAACAAGGTCAAGTAGATAAAAGATATAAAGTTAATAGAAACGTAAAATTGTGACGAGAGAGTCGTAGATGGCAAAAGTTTTGTACAGCCTTTTTCAGAAGAGAAAAAAGTAGAAATCTTATGTTAATACATAACGGCAGAAGGACTAAAATAGGGGAGTAACGAAGCCGCATAAATTCTTCTTTCGTGAGTTAAGATATCTGTTGTTGTCAAATAAAATAATCATCATTTCAGCTGCTAATTTACTAAAGAATAATTAAACGTACTTTTAATTATCGAGCTACGTTTTATAATCTTTCTTCACCTCTTTGATCTGAATGAAAAATCTGCTTGATTGAGAAAGAAAGGAGAAGAAGAGGAAAAGAGGGGGGAAAAGTGGAGGAAAGAGAAAGAGAGAGGGACAGTATGAGAACGTTGTGAAAATTGTGTCTGTTTTGGTCCCGTTTCGCATTGCGATTAGCCGCGAAACTACGCTTTCGAAATGAAACGATGACGGACAAGACAAACCAGGTCCCAACTTTATCCGCATTAATGAGCTTTTTCCGCGTGAGCTTCTCCTTGTGAACGGCCGAGGATGAAGGCGGCTCGACCGATCTTTCTCCTCTCCCTTCCGCAAAATTCATTGATAGACAATAATAACATCAACGTTAACTAAATCGGAGAATTCAACGTCGCGCTAATTAGCAGCTAAAGGGCAAAAGTAAATTTAAATTAAACGGGGCGAAGTGGAGATCAGATTATTCGATTAAACTGAATCTCTTCTCATAAACGTTCTTCGACGACTTTTAAACTTATCTCCGCCTTTGAAGACTCAATTTCGAGACGAATTCAATTTTACAAATAAGTTCTCGCTCTCGGTGATTTATCGTTTTTTTTCTCCCCCCTCGCGGGAGGCAATTCTTAATTAACGCTTCACCGGCGTTCCACGTTCCAATTTTGGATGCTGAAGAGAAGAGAGTCTCGTTCGAGCTCGCCTCGCAGAGCCCCGATAAAAATCTCGGTTTGTCGCGTGCAGTTGCATGGTTGCGCGAGCAAAGACACTGGTCGTGCCGATATACGTCGAGATCTGAACATCTTCGGGACAAATATCGCGTCGGAAAGAATAAACGCTGCGAATTACAGCAAACGTACGTCGCGCGCCGGAAGGGACACCCCCGAGCTGCGTCGCTCGATAAATCCAGATCTCGGGATCTGGGCTCTTCAGATCCCGGATTGCGTCGCGTGGGTTCGCGCTCGTGTCCCTCCCGGGGCGCCCTTCGGGACACCTACGGCGCTTCCCCAGGCTCTCCCGTTCCACGTTTCTTCTTCGCCGGGTACCTCGAGCCTCGCGAGTTTCGCCGCTCGCTTCCGACGAGAGATCGAGGGGCAAATAGAGAGAAAGGCAAATAGACAAATCGATAGAAAGGAAAATGAGAGAGCATGTCGGTGAATTATTAAGAGCTACAATTATGAAGATAGCAACGGGGCTGCGGTGCTCCTGCGTAATCCGCACTATTTTCCAAACACGCGAGCGATCGTAAATTAATGCAGGCGGGTTTAATGCGGCGACAATTAGCAACGGCAAACAGGGAAGCCTGGTGAGCACCTCCGAACGGGAAGTCGTTGGCAAATAATTAGTTTCCCCATTGTCTGGTCGATCCGTTTAATTAAGTCTACCCCCCCTCCCCCCGCGCCGCGCCGCGCCGTGCTACCCCCGCGCGCGGTCGCGGTCCCGTTATAAAAAATCTTCAACACCCCACCCCCTCCCTCCCTCCCTCCCTCCTACCCTCAGTGGAAACGTAGCCGCTTTTTTTTGTACCCGTGCGCCATGTACAAGTATACACCTAACAATATAATATCCTATGTAACCTACGGACGTTAAAGCGGATAAGATCACTTTGCGTTCTCTCTCTATATACGTTTCCTGGACACCCGTCGGATTTTTCGCGCCGGCCCTTAAAGCGCGCCGTCCTACAGGGTACAGGATGTGGACAGCGAGACCTGGACGCGAAGACGCGCCGTGTACAGGGTGTTGCAGAGACATACGAGGCAGTATGACTAGTTGCTTGCTCTCGCGCAGGCGCGCATTTCAATATCATAATTTCATTAATTTTCTGTAAAAATATGACTTTTTTGATAATCGTTATGGTGCCATTGTTACCTCATCGTGGCTTAATGTTGGGCAAATTTACTGTTGTTACTCTCGCACCGAGGGTGCTACGCAATCGTGAACGGCCTGTACGAATGGGCAACCCGTTAAATTGCCCTGGATGTCCCTGCAACAATCTGTACGAATGACGCGGGCAGGTCGGGAGGCATGGGTCTTCTCGACGGAAAATTAATAGAGAGGAGGAATGTATGTGTGCGACAATACGTAGCTGAAGGCAATTCGCGTGTTGGGTGCAATCGTTATCACATGCCCGGCAATTTAGAGGCGATCGTCGATTTTTTCTCACTCGAGTTCAATCCCCGTCGAGCCGCGCGAATGTAGAAGTCGCGCGGACCGACAAGCCGCTAGGTCCAAAATCGGATGTAGGTATACGAGAAGATCATCGCCATACGCGAGGATTATAGTTAGAGCCTCGGGCTGAGAACTCTCGTTCGGCATTGGTTTTAGCTCTGGACGCGAGGTACGAATCTAAACGGCAGCCTTTTAGGCGCCACGGGGCGCGTCAGGGGGAGAGGGGAGGAGGGAAGGGACGGTTTCATCTTAATTAAGCGCGAGGCTTTAAGAGCCAGCTCGGATCACCTCCGGGCGAGTCCTTATCCCGCACACGCGCTTCCTGTACACGCACGTTATGCCCGCGTCCGCGCCCTTCACGAGGTATACAGAGATACAAGGTGGAGTTTCTGTGTGTCGAATGTACATTTAATTATTAAGAAAACAGTTATTCAGGCACGCAAGTTGGGCAGGGGAGCAGCGCGCAGCCAGTGGAAGAAGCCGCGCGTACCCCGGAGTGTTTCCCTCCTTCGTCCGATCCGATCGGATTCTCGATCGGCCCTCGGATCCTCTTTCCTCGCCGATCATCCTCGAATCACTCTCGCGATCTCCCACTCGCCCTCGATCGTACACTCCCGCCGAGCTTGGCGAGTGAAGGGTCGGGGATTGGAAGGGTTCGACGGAAGTGGGCGATCGGAGGAGTCGGGTGATCCTGGACGCGACCAACGTTTCGCGGAAAAACCGGAAAAACCGGGATAACTGAGGAGTCTGGTGCAAAAGGGATGAATGCCGGAGTGATTTATGGTTTTACAGCTACGTTGTAAAAGCACGCACAATTACGTCCAATTTCCGAGTCCGAATCCTCTTACGATCGCTCGCCCGCGCGCCAAATCCCTAATTGGATCTCTGGCGGGCTTCTGAAGGAGGGGCTCGAAGGTACGCGCGGGACGCAATAAGGCCCATCGTTAAACGAGCTTCGCACGAGAAACGGACCGCCGTGTCCGGCCGACCTGGCTAGGTCGCGGAACTCCCGTTTAGCGCGGTGTGTCCTCGACTATTGTATTTCCGGGTTGTGGTCCAGGCGGGAGAACGAATCACGGACCTTATAATGACAACGTTGCCTCGTGCGAACCTTTTGCGCTCCGCGCAAGAGGCTTCGACCGCTTTACTTTGGAATTTACAAAAGAGTCGTCATAACGCGTGGAGGCTACCTGCGTATTCGCGAGACGAGTCGACGGTTCAAGTTGCCTCTCCCAAGGCGCGGGTTCTGCGGCAACAGCACCGAGACCCGGGTTCGTGCAAACTACTGCAGATTAGATCTGGCGATTAGACGCGGACTGTCCAATTACGATGGACCGCCAAGTGGCAGACGCGGACGAGGATACACCGCTCCAAACGAGAGCTTTCACATTCGTTTGTGCGAAGAGCGAGCCTCCGGCCGATCGTGTCCCCGCGATCGCATCTCCAGCAGCGTGGCATCGAGCGCGACACGTCCTGCCGGCGACGCGCCGGGACCGATCGGCAACCCCCAGGCGCGGCCGTCTCGCGGTGTGACCGTCACGTGCGAAACCGGCGAGGGGCCTTAGTACGAGTGCTGCGGCTGCAAAGACGAGACTCAGCTGTGCGCCGACGTGTCCGAGCCTTGGCTGTTGCCTAGCCCACCCATGCCGGCCTGCGAAGTGAGCCTGGTGGCCGACTGCGAGGTCGTGGTGGTCACCGTGGCGGAGTGACTGAGGCCGTGATGCCTGCCGGTTTCCGGCACCAGGTGGGGCGTACGGCTGGAGACGGGCGGTAGGACCGGGCTGACCGGCCACGGGTGCAGGGACATGGTGCTGGGCGCGCTAGGCACGCTGCGCGAGTGCGGCAGCAGGGGTGAGTTGGAGAGGCTGGCGAGGGGGTGGTGCGCGGCGGACGCGATGCTGCCGCCGCCGGAAACGCCCAGGCTCGTGCCCGACGAGATCGCTCCTCCGCCACCGCCGCCGCCACCGCCGCCGCCGCCGCCGCCGCCGCCGCCGCTGCCGCCGCCGGAAGCCGCCATGGCTACCGCGGTATCCGGGTGGAGGAAGTTACGCCGCTGCTCCATCCGCTCGGCGTGCTGCGCCAGGCAGCGGGTCAGCTCCTCCGGCAGCAGCTCCAGCTGGCCCTGCAGCGAGGTCAGCTTCTCCTCTAGGCCGACCAGACGGTCCTCCAGACCCACCAGACGCTCCTCCACCGTGTCCTGGCGCGTGCTCATGTCCGAGACGATCTCGTAGACGGTGTTTTGCGTCTGTTGACATGGACCAGGCAGTGTGTTAGAGGAAGAAGCTTACCCACAACAGTGTTGCGTTTTGCGCGGTAAACCGCTTATTTTAGCATGACTATCGTGAAAAACTGAGTCTTCCCTAAGCGAACACGGCGAATCGATGATAAAAACGCTTTATTGATTTTATAGAACTGAATTTCTTTGTGGTGCGCAAACAAAAAGAAGAGTATAATTGACAGAAGCCTCATTCGGAAGAGAGCCGCTCTATCTAAGCAGCCACGAGAGCTTTGAAATGTAATCCCCTTCGATTCCCCTCCGCATGCCGCTGCGATACGCCATCGAGCTTTACAAGCGGGGTGGTTTCCCTCGTTAGCACCGAGCCTCACCTTGGCCATGTCCGTTATAGTGTTGGCGTTGTCCATCAATTTACGCTGATCCATTTTCACCTTTCTGAGTCTGAAATTTCGAGGCAGTTGCGAGACAGAGCGTGATTACGCGCCGGTCTAACTACTCGGTCATCTAATACGGCGGAGCCCCGCGGAGTGGTATCGACTTACGCGTATATGGCCAACAGGAATTTCCGCTGATGGGTCCGCACGCGTCCGGGATTGACGCGCTTCACCAGGCGGGTGTGCTTGTAAATCAGCCACGTTTCCCGCAACACGTTCGCCGCGGCGTTCTTCAACTGCAACAGAGCGGACAGCGTTTGTCACTCAAGCCCCCTTCGAGCACTAAACCCTTCGTCGGTGTCTAATGGTCTCTGGGATCATATCAATATTTTATCGGAAATATATCCCTGTCGCTCTTAAGGCTCTTTGAAAAGTTTTCAAGGTCCCTACCCTAGACGATGAAGAGATCATTTATTACGTCCTCAGGGTTAGATAATTTTATTTATAGGATAAAGGAATAACCCCGGTCGTAGGATGTATGCGCTGTACCTTTACAATTCCAGGCCAGGGAATTATTTGAACTATATTCTCAAAGTAAACATTATGCTATAGCATTATACCATATTAATTGCACAGCTCGTTAACTATGATATTCAATGTCACGGACAATTATCCCCTTCAAGATCGTGGGGGGAGGAAGTAGTCTGGAGGAATAATTAATGCCCCGCTGGGAATATGCATTTCAAGTTACGCGCGTATTTCCGTCTCGTACGAGTGTCAATTAAAAAAGGGAGTTGCATCAGGATCACGTTTTCCAGGCGTTACCTCGTGCCGCGGTACCGCCGGGAGAGAAACACTCACGCTCGTTACGCAAATCTTACACGGCCGGAGAGGAGGAAAAAAAAAGTATTTCGAGAAGACTGACGTTTGTTTTGTTGCCGCGCTGATGGGATCAGATCGATTCCGCTTATGCAATGACGTGAAAAAAAGCGATATGCGTCCGAGGGTTAAAACGGCGTAAAAAGACTCGTCGATACGGTCACGTGTATAGCTCTACGTTACCACTCCTTGATATTTGCAAGGTTTATAAATAAACGCTGGCTAATAATTATTTCAGTAGCCGTATGGTTGAAGGCTTCGATCCGGAGGTGGAGAGAAGCGACCGTACTTATGCAACCACGCTCACGTCCAGCGGAATCGCTCGATCAATCTAAATCCTAAACGAATGGAATATTTCGAGCCACGTTTAATTAACGCGATTTCCCGGGATATTGCGAAAAAAAAACATTTTCAAACGGCACGGAACGTTATCTCGGAGCCGACGATCCGGAATATTTTTTTAATATAAGCCCGTCCGCCATCGCGTGCGGAAGAATTACGAATCGCTGCATTAACTCTTCACTTCTGACATCGGCCGATCGATCGTGTCACGATCTACGGAGCTTGTCAAGGGGCCTCTCTTCGTGGACAGAACAACGACGCGAAATCGTCCACTTTTCCGCCTCCTGCATTTCTTCGGATTCTAAATAGCTAGCTTCCTTAATTTTCCGAGCCTACGAGGAGCGCGATCTACCGAGGAATCGCATCGATTTTCGTTTTGTCCTTCAAATTGACCGTCGTTAACAGCCGTAACTTCGAAATCTCGTACATATTCCAAAGCCCTCGAAGTTCTCCAAGTTTTTGTATTTCGAGCTTCTAATATTTCCCGCTCAAGTCCCAACTGCAGGCGGCCGACTTTTCAACTCGTAATCTAACAATAAGTCCAATGAGACGCGGCGATGAATTATGGCGCCTATTATTGTTATAAAGTGTTCTAGAAATGATAAAATCTTCCGCGCGATATCGGAAAGCCGCTTCCAGGCGAGCCTTTGTTATCGCGACGACGGATTACTTCGCGTCGCCTTTCGATTTATTTAGAAATCTGTTGAGATGAAATCGATCGACTACGTCGCGCTCCTTTCGCGATGATGAAGGCTACAATGACGATGATACATCAGCCGACTTGTTCGTCCTAAATACCGATCTATTTACCTGAACAGATGATACGACAATGCTCTCCACTTCGACACGTGCTTTGTCTTATTCGCCTAACGCGGAGAAACCGCGAAAAGTATTTAAGTTTCATTTTCTTTTTATCGAATCTTTACGTTTACGATGCTTACATTTCCACACGGAGAAAACGTGATGCATCGACAAGATCAATGTAATTGAAATAGAATCGTCAAAACAACATCGGTATTAATGAATGAAGAACGGCAGACGGTTGTCTTAATAATCTGGACACTTGGTTCAATGCTTAAAATTACAATCCGCAGCAAATACAACTCAGTGAATTACTTATGTTTGTGGCAGCCCGTGACGTTAACGTTTAATTCAAGCAGCTTCATTGTTTCTTAATTCAACAGCAGTTTTTACCGTGCGTAAGTTCTCGAATCTCCACATCACGTACTTTCGCGAGTTTTAAGACGGCTTCACGCCGTTCTCGTAATATTTCAAAATTTTTTCGAAAGTTAAATATCCAGATTTTCGAGATTACACGGGACTTAGAAATTCTTGGATTCCCGCACTGTCGCATTCGCCGAGATTCTCAGAATTCGAGTTTTCGTCGTCTCTCTCCTTTTTAAATTCTGACATCCGCCATCGCGACTCTTAATATCGCGACACACACAACACACACACACGGTACCGCGACATCAAAATTAAGAATTCAGATTGACAACGAAGGGAAGTCCGTTCTGCCTAAAGGTCAAAGTGACTTCATGCAGTCCGCTTATTTCCGAGGCAACCTTACTCACAGTGGGATACTTTCTTATTACGTGGCTCAGCCGGAAAATTACGTCGCGCTATATATATATATATATATATATATATATATATATATATAAGAGTGATATCCATCATGCTCTCATTACGTGCTTAATTCGCTTTCCTGATTCTTGCGGGATACTGTCGGCGCGTGTAATTTCGAAGCCACCCTTGCAATTACGTTTCGCTATCGTTTCTTTGTTTAAGAAATTCTATATCGCCTGTAATTGAAAGCTAAATATCATCTTTATCATCATTAGAGAATTTTTACTGTACCTAAATATCAGAACAATAGCATAAAGACGTTAAGAAGTTTGCAATTTAAATTTAAGCGAACGTAAATTGCATTTTTTTTCCTGTTAACGAGTGCGTCAATTACAAACTCATCAATTTTCATTTCTTCTTCTATTTTATTTAAAACACTAGTAGATATTTATATCGTTCCGTGATCATCTAAGAACAATATCCAAGATAATTTGCTATAACTTCTTTTATAACTGCTTATCGTCTTACTTTAGAACCTTATTATTTGCTATACATATCATTAAAAGTTGCCCTCCTTAATTCAGAAACTTGAGCAGAATAAATAATACAGCACGAACATCGCAGAGTTAATTGTTACAATGCAGAAAAGTAACTTGGATACTTGTAAAATTTCTAGCTTAATCTTCTGCGTTGTTTAAGCAGGGATATATACATATATTTAAGCAGGAGAAAAAGTTATTTTACATTATCGTACCACCATTCACATGAATTCCGTATTTAATTCCCTACTTCGAATTACTTCCCTAATTTTATTCAACAACAAGAACACTCTGTGTCGTTACGGTAGAATTATTTTCTTTAATATTATAACATTGTAAAACAAAGCGTCACGAGAAGTTTCGCGATAACGTCCACAAATCCAAAACTGCAAACAAATGTTTCTAAAAGCTATTTAAGCTACATTTTACGAGTCGAATGAATGTTTGAGCGAAAACTTTCAAACGCAAAGAAGTGTAGTTCATGTAGCAGGCATATATCTCTTCATTATATCGGTCGATATAAAAGTGGCACGGACTATTATAGACTATTATAGATTAGTATAGACTAATATAAAACCGGTATAGGCCAGTTCTCCCGCTATTCCATGTACTTTCTCCGATTATTCGCTAATCCTTTCCAGTCGCTTTTTTCTTCCAATCAGTTATTTTAGATTAGAATATCCCTGCGTCGCGGTGTCTATTGCGTTTCTTGTCATATTAAAAATCTGTCAATAGACGGAATTGTTGCGAGAACCTCGCTACGGTGGCGTAACTACCTGTTCCTCATATTACCGCAAGGCTGCTGTTAACACAAAGGTCTTACAATGCTAGAGCGGAACAGCACAGGCGTGTGCAACGGCCTTACCCTTTTCGTTAATTGTGTGTCCATCATAAAGTTGTGCACGTGCTTCTCCGCCCGCGTAAGCTCGAGCTTCCTGGAGACGACTGCCACCAGTAAAGCGGTGCACCCGGCGCCCTGAAATTTCGGGAAAATGCGATCTCTCGTGAGCTGCTTTCACGTGAAATTTTTAAGTTCTGAGACTTCCGCCCTCCGCGCACCCCCCGGGAGCTTTACGTACGCCCGTCTTTCGAGGAAATCTCCTCCCGAACCTCGTCGATCCCTCAAGCCGGTCTCAAGTCAAATGTAATGAAAAGAATCGTCTTATTTTATTCACGATACACCCTTCTCGCAGCGACAGCTTCTCACGGTCCTTTATAGGTTTTCTTAATGTCCTCGGAAAGCCTTTCCCTTCGATTTCGAGAACGAGAAGCGATCGAACTTGGTCCATGGAAAAAGGAATGACGGTGAGTGAATAAACGCTTATACTTATTTTTGAGGTAGAAATTGAGATCTCTGCTGAAAGACGGAACTTTTCACGACATCCGAGGTCTACAAAAGGCAACAATCTCTTTGCGTGCTATAGAACGCGAATGAAAGGAACGAATCGTTCCAACCGTTAGTCGACCATGCGACTCGACGTATTGACGCTAAAAGGAAATGCATTTCAAATACTTAATATGAAACAATTTTTACCACAGTCGTTGATTTATTATCGTGCAATTAATCGTGGTTGTTAACTTAGTCGGTTTTCTCTCAATAAAATCCGTCACATTAATCGCCGGTCTGTCTGTTCCGTTGCGAGGAAAGGTCGCTGCTAGATGAGATCGCTTTTCGCTCGCTGTCGGAAGTTAAGGGGATCCTAAAGCCGCTGGCGAACTCGATCAGTATCGATAAGATAAGACGGAATTAAAAACGTCAATTATCGACATTTTTAATTCCAAGTTCTACTTTAGATGTTACCTCAAACCGGCGTTTTCTACACTGAAAAAAGATCTGATAGATTCAACCAGTCGTCCGTTAGAAAATGGACGAATCAGAATTCCTTTAGGATTTACCATGAAAGATAATTCATAACCAGAAGTTTGCTAAACTTCACTACATATCTGGTAAATCCTAAAGGAATTCTGATTCGTCCATTTTCCAACAGACGACTGGTTGAATCTATCAGATTTTTTTGTCAGTGTAGAGACCCTGTAATCAGAGACTGGCCATAAGAGTTCATTAAATTCCTGCGAGTGAGAGAGAATGATCGTAGGGTCGCAGAAGAGTGAGATAGCCTATGTTTCTCTCTCACTCGCGGAAATTTGACGAACTCTTATGGCCAGTCTTGCATCCTTAGAGGAAACTGAATGATAATTTTATTAGTTACACATTGCTCAGACCGAGATTTTGGATCGAATTCTAGCATCGTCAACACCATGGCTTTACTGACAGATATTTGGCAGTGACTTCTCTCGAAAAAACCTGCAACTTCTACACGCCATACTGCTTTTTTTCTCTTCTTCTAGACTTGGATTTCTGGACTTGTACAAGTAATCTTTTTTTCTAGACTATTAATGTTAGTTCTAATTGCACGATATTGTTCTTATATGTTGTTCCTAGAGTACGCTGGTCTCGTTTTGTATATATTTATTGTAGAATTTTTGTATCGTGCAAATATTGTCGTCAAGTGTACCAAAAATTAATTAAAAATTTGTTTGTTTCGTTTTTTATATAAAGTCGACCAGCACAGTCTAGATTTTGCTGCGTACTTTAATTCCGTAAAAGAGTTTTGCATTTCTAGCCAATTAAAAAATTACTTGTAACAAAGAATGTCGATAAAACAGACGGCTTTAGGATCCCCTTAATAGCCGAAACTTCAAGTGGAGAGTAATTTCGCACAATTTACGCGACGCGTCGGGAGTACGTTAACGTACACGAGAGAAAGGGAGGAAGTCTCACTAGGGCAGGGTAGGCGGGCGCGTTGTAAATCGCGGCTGGACTTCCGGAAACAACTGCCGTACTCGAAAAGCGGAAGTTTACGAGGAATTAGCTCACAACGTTGGAGCCAGCCGCCGCCGGTTCCAGCGATAGCTGCGGATTATCGGAGAACGCGCCGCGAAGGGCGGGATGTAGGGTAGGGAAGCGCGATGACACAATAAGGAACAGCTCGGGCGGTTCCCCGGGCGAGCAAACGGACGTGGCGTTTATTGCGTCCCCGGGTTGCCTTTAATTACAGGCGGTTAGCGTAAAGCGAGAGCGCCGAAACGGGGAGAACGCACAAATCACGGGCGAGCGGATCTGCCAAGCGGGCCGGCGCGCGGCGCGGCGCCGCGCGGCATCGCACACGAGCGAGAGATCGATCGATCGTCCGCGCTCGCGACGCTCATTACGCCTGTCTGCCTGTAATGAACCCGGGTGCTTAACGCGCGAGTTACATCGGGTTACATGCCTGCGGAGTCGCGCGTCTCGACTCGGTTGCGGTCGCGTATATTGTGTCCCGGCAGTTTGCGGGTACCTACGGGTAAGGATTAACGACCGGCGTGATCGGTGATACGGCGCGTGTAATGCGACGCTCCCCTGATTTCCGGCGGCCCCTGTCGAAATAAATTTGCGTAAAGACAGTCGCGCGTTCGTTGGCATCCAAAAATATTTTCCTTTGTTGAAAAGTACGCAAAATTCATGCAGAAACATTGTTCTCGGACTATCAAGATCAAGCTGGACCAAAAATACTGTAGCATCTTCTCCAACGTCCAGTTCTACCAATGTAGAGTAATTTTAATCCCGATTTAACTCACTTTTTCCAGTTCTAAGAATTAGAAGAAGATGAAAAGTAAATTAGGCCGAGATTAAAGTTAACCTGCATTGTTAGAAATGGACATAATTGTACGCGGAGAGAATTTTTCCTTAAAATTCACTCCTGAAAATCGCGTAGGTGCTCGTGGGACAACACGGATGATCCGAAGCACTCTCGTAAAATTCTTCGAAATGCCGTTGTTCCACGATTACATAATTTTCAGGATAAATTTTCAGAGAAAATTCTCCGCGTAAGATTCGAATAAATTACATCGGTCCTGTTTCATTATTTTTCCTTCGCGTTCAAATATTTTCTCATACCTGGCGAACGTAATTTTAATTTAAAAAATTACTATAAAACTGTACAAGAGTTTTCAAGACAAATCCGATCTTTCTCTCAGCGTCTCTCTCGCGAATCGTCGTGCACGCTTGGCGGAACACGACGCCGCAGAATCGTCGTCGCAGCGCGCGACGTGCTAGACGTTCGAGAAGAGGTCCCGAGAAAATCGTCGCGACTTTACTGCCCTTACCATCATTCCGGTGGAGACGGCTATACCTCGACCGCAGTATGTGTTGGGCACGATGTCGCCGAAACCGACGCTCAGGAACGTGATGGCGATGAGCCACATGGCGTTGAGGAGATTTGCATGTTCCTCGTCGTGGAACCTGCGGTGGCAAAACGACAGGTGCATTACTTTAATGACGGAGCGCGCGCGCCAAGATGCATACGATATCTCAGACCCTCAGACTCTTTGCGCCCGGCGAGATGTTCCGAGTGGGTCGTGCCGGGCTTTAGGATACTCGCAATTTCAAGGTTTTGAATTTCTAAAAGGATCGAAAGTAGCAGACACTACGTTCGGGAACAGATAATCTTCTCTCTTCAAGCTCCTCTCCAGCTCGAAGGTATCGAGACTAATGAGATTCGGAGCAGCGTGTAATGAATTTCTTTCGTATATTAAGTGCGCGATGGCAAACGCGCCTTAATTGAATATTAAATTATGGAAAACGGCTGTTTCGCGGAGTCTCTTTTCAATGTCCTCGACACCAGAAGATCATTACTGTCCGGATAATCGAATTTCCCGGCTCTTATTTTTATCGGCGACTCGATACGTCCGTTTCGCCGTAACCGGCGCTTGATCCTCGCCCCGAGGGGCCGAGCGAACGCTGGGGAGGGGGTGGGTGGTTACGGGTAAGTAATGCAGGATGAAAGATAACATTATGCCCCCCGCGAGATTCATTATCGGACGTAAAGAGGATTGGGGCAACAATGCGGGCGACGCGCCCGGCTGTAATCCACATCGTAAAGCGGCTTTAACGGCCTCGTTACACAGTTTCGCCTTCGCGTGGATGGCGAAACCATCGTTTAGGGCTCATCTCTGGCCCACGATATCTACGAGTCGACCCAACCGCTTGGTCACCGTCTCGCTGGGTGACTTGTAATTGTAAGAATCTTTAGACAACACCACGTTGTTGGAAATCAGCGTTTCCTCTCCCTCCCGATGCAGGAAGAGGCGCCGGAATAGGAGGGGGCCTAGGTAGATTTAATAAAACTTTCAATGGCGGCGATAATATTTTACTGGAGCAACGAAAATCAGCGATAAAGGGGGATCTTTTCGACGAGATTAACGAACGTGACCTCCCTGTAATCTTCCCCATCCTATCCGACAAAATTGATGACTCGCGCCTGATGTAACGAACGGGTCCACTCCATGGAAGCCCCATGAAACGAATTATTCCCGTAGCAGCGCTGATTGCATGACTGATTGTCGGCCGCGTACCGTGAAAATCGCGTTATTGTCGTGGAAATTCGCGCGGCCACGTGCGGACGCACACTGAATAAAATATCATTCGTATTTCGCGACAATTTCCGGTTCCATAATCCGAGCGTAAAACTGGCCGCGGGGCCCGCGCGGCGCTTACGCTGATCCGGGAGCAAAATTATCAAATTGATTTTTTAATTTTGAATGCGGATGCAAATACGCGACCGCAAACCCGATAATCACGAACCGCGCGCGTTAGTTGAATAATACCATGTTATACCGCGCGTCGTTATCATACGCGACGATTCATTTTGTAAAGTGAATTTCGAAATGTTTATTCTGCGAATTTATTTTCGGCGAATGGACGCCTCGCGCGGCTTACAATAAAATTGACAGCGGTGGCAACAGACGGCGATAATTCACCGAGGATAATTTACAACGACGTGACGTGCAGAAAATCATGACGGCGAACCTTATCAAGGCTCGTCGACTGTGCCGATAGAATTGTGATTTAAATCACTTTGATATACAACTGCTACTAGTATTTCACGTAATGTATAACAAAATCGACGGTGATCGAAGTCGATAACGATGTCTCATTACGGTACGACTTATAATTGCATAATATTTGCAGAGTCGCAACTCGTGCCGAACTAGCTAGGTAAGTATCGTCAGCGAAGCGCTGGCGAATATCAACGTTAAAAATTTGTATTTGACTACTTGTTGCAAAACTGTTACCGTTGACAAAATCGGCATTCCACGCGCGCCAAGTATTTGCATAATAAATTTAAATGTAACGAAATTAGCGGGATAAACGTTGAGTGAAAATTGAAGTTACCTTCGCAAGCGCCGTTTCATTTGTGAAACAGAATTTCCCCGGGAGGCATCGCGCGCTGCTCGGGATATTCGCGTATTCACCTAGCGCACGTCGGAAATGTGTCGGAAAGCCGAATGTTCCTAGCATTATCGGACGTATTATCATAATCGACTATCGGGCAAAGGTGGAGCGTGCAATAAATCAAATACGCGAGCCGTTTTAAACGATTGCCCTGCGGGCAACAATGAAACAGCCGGCCGCCATTGCGTTTGAACTCGCTCGTGCTACATCGAGGATGCTGGGTCGTGGGGCCAGGCCGGTAGCACGTCGACACGCGCGTTTCACCGAGTGATAAATATTTCCGTTAAGGACGGCGGAGGGAGACCTCGCGTCGTCCATTAAGGAGAACCGGCCAGGTTTCGGAAGGAGGATCCTTCGAGAGCTACCTGGTCGCGTGGATCCTTGGCAAGTGCTCTGGCATCGCCGGCGAAGATTGATTATTCCTCGAAATCGGCGCGACTATTTACGGAAAGAATTTAATTATCAGCCGGTCGCCGCTAAAGCCCGCGATCGCCAGCCGGCGACCCCAATCGGGGATTCCACCCCGCTGCCGGAAGGACGCACTGAGATTTATTATTGCAGTGCGACGGATGGACGCGCCATTAGGTCGTAGATCAATCATCGGGCACGCAAATGAGTCGCGCCCATTGATCTGTATATGATTCCGAAATGCGCGTGTCATTGCTCTTCCTCCCTTCGGATAATGGATCGTGTGAATAAAGCGGGAACAACTGCTGTTAACAGCTTCAATTGTTACATCGCGTGAGCGGAAGAAGAGATTCACTCTGAAGAGCTCGTGCACCGAGGAACAAACTAAGAAAAGTCACGATTGTGTTTTGATAACACTGACAGCTAGAGAGCTGTTGGAGAATTCAAGAATTTTGATTAATTGAGTTTTGATAGTAATAGATGAACTCATTACTGGGACCAACGTGGTCCAAGATTTTGTTGACGCTAAAAATGAAGAGCGGACGATCTCTCGTGCTCGATTCTTCCCGAATCGAATATTTTGGCCTCAGTGTAGCCTCGTATAATTTTTTAATTGAGAACAATGAGGTCGAACTAAGGTCTTTGTGTCAGAGAAAATGTATTGAATTTTTGATAGGCCTGAACAGAGTCGCTATTTTCTTTTCAGTAATAAAGAGGCCAATGCGAGTGTAATCAACAGAGGCTCGGTAGATCCTCTTCGACCTAGGAGGTTTCAGAGAGGGTGAATATTTTACTACATTCTCTTTGAGGGTTGCAATGAGATTAAGCGCAATTTCTAACTCATCTGGACCTCACATTGGAGTTTTAAACCGATTCCGAGGTCGAAATGAAGACAGAATAGAAGAATGGAGGGCCATGCCGGGACGAAATACTCGACTCGGGCTCTCTTCTGTGCGCAAAACGGGGTCGGAAGACCGAGCTCTTACCTTTCGCACTGCCGCAGGGTCCACGAGGCGATGATCCACAGGGAGACCATGAAGACCAGCAGCACCGTGCCCGGGCAGATGGTCATCAGGGTCTTGAGGACGAACCTGGTGTTGAAGTTGATGCGATTCAAGGCCCCTATGCTTCGCGACGACGCGTCCGTGAAGAGCTTCGAGTGCAGCAGCATCACCCGGCAGATGAGGTAGAGCCTGAGGAACATCGGCAGCGAGAGGGTGACGTCGTACGGCACCCACTTGGAGCCGATATCGCCGTTCTTGTTCGCCAGCTTGGTCGTCCACAGGAAGTAGTATTCGCCCGGGATTGGGTGGATCGCGCAGATCGCCAGCTCCACCGAGATCTGCGCGATCCTCTGCCAGGTCATCGCGATCCGCCAGTCGTCCGCGCAGTTATCGATCATGAACAACTGTCGCCCGACAAAAAAAATTTGGACAGATAACAAGAGATAACCGCTCCCGCGACTGAAACGTGTCTGCCTAATCGAGGTTTTTGTCGGGGGATGGGGGGGGGGCATTTTTTTCTCAAAAGTATATTTAAAGCGACAGGCGGTAACTTGTTTCGAACGTTAAGGATTTTGTTTTCAATATGTTCGAATAGTTGAATAACCACTCCGAGAATTATCCCGAGGAACGTTCAATTTTATGATGATACTTTAAATATTGTTCTCGATGTATTCGAGTGACTGAACAATGTCCCGAGAATTATCGCGAGGAAGCGGAATACTCGATCGAGTGATTTTATAATTATTTAACGTGTTTTTTTTGCACGTCGAAGGCCTTGGGTATTTACTTTAGGCTTTCAAGTCCCCGTTATTGAATATTTCAATAAGCTTTTATCGATAAATCTCACGAGATTAATATGCAGCACGATTGAGAGTTAATTGAAACGTATTATCAAGCGTTCAGGCACTTGACGAAGCTAAACATTATTGAAAAACGTCTATTAAACCCGTCCATCTCGCACGATTATTCGCCGAGAGCGGACAAACAAACGAATAAATTAATCATGTTCGACCCTTCGCGCGCATTATCATCGCGCGTGTTTAAAGCGATTTTTCGGTATATACCGACCGGTATCGATTGCGCGGGATTGCCAATCGAGACAAATGAGCCCACGTATTCGAGATACGGGAGTTTCGCTCTTTGAGCCCCTGGCACGATTAATATGAATTCCAGCCGCTTTGTCCTGACTTGATTAAAACGCCGCGCCACGTATTCATTGTTTATCGCCGTCTGTTCCCCCACGCGAGAGATCGCGCGTCGTTGTAACCGCACACATGCCACCGCCATTCCGGCAACAAATCATCCTTAACTCGGTAACGATCCTGTCAGATCTAAACAGATCGCGCTTGAAGAACCCTAACACACCGCAAACGCCGTATCATTCGGGACACGTATCGCGTGATTTGTACCGAACTTACGGACTTTTGGCCCGGCGGCTCTTCAGCGCCTCGGATCTTTATTCCATTTTCGTTTCATTCATTTTCTGCTTAATCGGAGAGATTGCCGCGTAAACATACCCAGTCAGCAAAATGTTAACAGGATTGGCATCGGGGGGTCAATTCTGTGTCTTACAATACAGTGAAAATGTTAAAAGTGAACGGTTTTGCCTCTTTCTAAGAGGACGGTTAGAAAGTGACAAAGCTACTCGCTTTTGGCATTTTCACTGTAGTGTAAGATACAGAAAAATCATAGCCATCTGTGTCCGCATTTGGCTTTTGTTTTGGCAGCACCTTTACGAAAAAATGGAATCAAAACTGATAAAAAACTGATCACTAACCGATGGATAACTGATCATTGTAACTGATGACAACACAACCAGTATATTGAAACAATTTTACCAGTTACTAATATAAAAACTGGCCATTTATTCAGTTTTATATTGATCAGTAAGTGATAAAATTTCCAGTTACTGATACAAAAACTGGTCACTTGTTCAGTTTTATATTCATCAGTAATTGATAAAACTCCCATGGCAGTTCTAGTTGAGCCATCAGTCAAGTCACCAGTTGTAGCTGATCAGTTATCCAGTCAGTTAGTGTACAGTTGTCAGTTTAGTTACGTGAGCAGATTTTGTTGTATTTCTGCTGACATGCTGGAGACATGTCGAATATATCAGCTCCTGTATGCAATCTGCAGTCTTTCTGCCTTCAAACTTTGTAGTGGGCATTTGACGGAATCTGTCCTGACAGATTTGACTATCTGGGTATCTCTACGGATTCTTCATTTTGCCTTTGATATTACGCAGGATGTTTCTTAAATCCGTCTGCGTTTTAGAGTTTTATTTTTGAGATCGTTTTATAAAGAAGAGTTCACGCGAATGTCTGGCCTCAAAAGCCACATTTTAGAGATTAGAATATTAAAACTTCTCTTCTGGCGGATCCTAAACGAAAAGGGATTTCCTTTTTAAACTCGGACCAGTAAATAGATAAAATAACTTTATTTTCTATTTATAGTCGCCGTATTGTAGAATAATGTAGAAATTTTCTCCAATGCTTGTGAAGGGATTAAGATACTTTTGATATGGGGCAGTTAATTTAACTTGTTCCAAGTTTGACTTCGATACTTGAAAAGCACCCTTTAGATTCTCGATATCGCGGTTCGACGCTTTTGTAGATTCAACTTGGCCTTCCTTATCATTTACGAATCACTGCGGGCTCGCGGGTTTCTATTAACGGAAAATTACGCGGCGGGAGACGTGTCACAGGGACTTGCGGTATCGTAAATCACCCCTTAAGTTTCCGCGTTCTAACGTGTCGGTTGGAACCACGCGATTTCGAACCACGCCGCTTCGACAATGGAGTTGTTCCACTCCGAGGCTCTCCAGGATCCTCGGCGGGAGATGATACATCCATCACGAGATGCGCGGAAATCTTTTATATCTTGGCGATATCTCGCCCGTGATACATCGCGGATACTTTGCAGCTCGTATCTCTCAGCCGCGAAAGATGCGACCCGCCGGCGTCCCGAATAGATTAGTATAATGCAGTGGGAGTCCATTTATATCCGGCGGAAATAATCCGGAAGACGCGAAGATTGTCGCGTAACGGGAAAGGGAAAAAATAATATCCGTCGCGTATCAGGAATCTGTGAAAGGAACGCGCGGCACAAAGGCGCTTGGCGACGGCAAAAATGCAGGCTGCCGGGTGCGCGCGTATTTAAGGGTCTAACGGTAGGGTCGGCTTGAACATCGATGATTTATGGGCCCATGAATCTATAGTAGTGTCGTAGCTTCTGACCTTCGCGTTATCTGAGCGTTCGCAGTGTACCCTGGATATCCTCTAACGAGCGTTCAAGTAAGGGGCTAGTATTACAAGATTCTGCGGTGGCGAAAGTACAAGATACCATATTAATATACCGAATTTGACACGGAACCGAATATAACGTTTGTCGAATTTAGGGCGGGTTGTTCCAACCGCTTGTTAAGTTACCTAACAGTTAAATCATATATGTGTCTTTGTGCTTCCTTCAAACTAGACAAAGATAGACCTGGAATTCACCCAGTTGGTTTACCAAGAGGTTGGATAAGCCCTTACGATTTTTCTGTTTTATTCACGTGTGATCCTTCTTCGTTGCGTCGCAATTTGCCGGCGACTTATCACATTCGTCGTTGTGACACTCGACGTTAGGAACCGAGACGGATTGTTAATGTTCGTTAGATATGGAGTGAAATTTGGGAGAATCGATAAAAAAATGACTCTTGTGTTTAACATATTTGGAGGAGAAAAACATGAGAAATTGACAACACATTGCAGGAATCGCAATTTATAGTCGCACGTAGCAAAAGCGAGATGGGGAAGGGGGTGGAGGCAGGGAGGGAGGAAGGATGGAAAAGGGAGACAAAGGGGACGACGATCGGAAACCTGTGCGGGCGACATTGATCGGAACGATGTCTCCCGAGGGAAGCCCCCTTCGTTTTGCAGTGCCAGGTGAATCTCGGCAAATCTGCGCATGCAAATCGTTGATGAACGACAATCAACAGGTGCCGAAAGGTCAGCAGGCCATTAGGCTCCAAGCCAGCCGTTTGTTGCCGCAAGATTGCGTGAGCCAGCTCGGTGTAACCGGACTGGTCATCTAGTTGGAATCCCCTCGCACCTAATATTTCCAATTAAAAGGCACCAATGAATTCCCAGTTCTAAACGATTTCCCCCCGCGAATCTAACTGCGCGCACTACGCATAGCAAGTCGCGGGTGTAAACGAAGACAACAAGGAACACGCGCTTTATTAGTTTATGTGTCCATAATTTAAAATTGATGCTTCGTCGCGAGGTCCCGGTTACTCGATAAGCGACGAGTCGATTCAAAGCTTTCCCTTGAAAGAAAGTCAACCGCACTTTCCGTACGTTGCGAGGTTGCCACTTACGAGATACATTTGTACGTATAAAATGGTATAATTTCAACGTTAAAGACGCGCTAGCCAGCAAATTACGCGTGGATACAGCGGACCTGCATTGAGCTTTATTGAACTCTCGAGCTTTCCGAACGATTTTCCTTTCACGGGAGCGAAAGAAAGGTAGAAGCACGAGAAACTTGCCTCGGTCTCGAAACGTCACCGCGTTGGTTCTTCTCGAGTCGCAAGGATGCGGCAATATCGGAGCCACAATATATCGCGGCGAAATTGCATCGCGCAACGACTACGGGCCTGACGAGAACGTTTTTCCGGTACATTGAGTCGAAATTATCCGTTTCGGGATACGCGAGGGATGTTGGCAGCTATCGCCTCCCTCTTTTTTCGCCTCGCGATCGGTTCCAACGTTCCCCCGAGACATTTGCGATAGATTCCGGCTGATCTGCCGTTTAAGATTAATCCGTTTTCCGTTAAGTAAAATTGGCATCAAGCATTAACGAGAGCTTGCTAGAACATAAACTATTCACATCGGCATATCGAGATCCATTTTATCAAAATGTGACGTTTCTTAAGAAACGGCACATCATTGCTATAAGCGAAGAAAAAGAAAGATTTTTTATTCGTAACGTATAGGATTAATTAAACGTTACAATCGGAGACTAGTTTAAACTCTGAGAGTGATTTGTATGAGCTACAAATTAAATTTGCGGCGCAAATTTATTTAATTTTTAAATTTATTTCGAACTAGAGATCGGCTCTATCTCATCGCTAATTTTGTCGAAGACCTTCATCCTTAATCGCTGAAAGGATCCCAAAACCTCAGAAGTCGCAGATAAAAACAGGAAAGTGCACCGAAAAAGCTGCAGAAAGTTTCTTGTTGAAACGCGGGACCATTCGCGGTGCACCGCCCTTCTCCAAGAGTCCCAAAGTTCGAAATTAAATTTGCGGCGCAAATTAATTCATTTATTTATTTTAAAAATTTATTTCGAACTACATAGCGGCTCTGTCTAGCTAATTTTGTCGAAGAGTTGTATCCTTCATCGCTAAAAGGATTCCGAGACCTCAGAAGTCGCGGGCAGATAGAAACAGGAAAGTGCGTCGAAAAAGCTACGGAAAGTCTCCCGTTGAAACGCGGGACCACTCGCGATGCACCGCCCTTCTCCAAGAGTCTCAAAGTTCCCCGCCACTGTGGGCCCCGCGTCAAGTTTGTGTACGCGAATAAGTTACTTGAGAAATCGAATATCTAAGCCACGCAGCCACTTCCTCGCGGAACACCCGGTGAATAACGTGAGACTCTCCGCCGGCGGAGACTTGAAAGACGGTCAATATTTGAGTTGACGCTTAAACGTTCGCGCCAGTCCGGACTCCGCGTGACTTTGCGGAGCTCGCTTCGCTGCCGGCCGCTGGCATCTCATTAAGTTGACTCCCGACTGAGGCCGAAAGTGAGCCGTGGGCTTAGCACAGAGATTTTCTCCCTTGCCGGATACCGTCGCTCTAGGACCGTAATTTTTCCCCGATGTCATTGTCACGCGAGAACGCCAGATTATCTCCCAATTCACACAATTGAGTCAGAGACTCTGACGATTTATCACCTTACATTTCAAGAATATATTCTCTTTCTCTTCTTCTTCCTCGTGTATCAGGCTTAAAGCCTGTTTTATCCAGTCCGTTCCGGTACTTTGAGCATTTGGTTTTACCATTCATTTTCGGTAGGTTGCTCTAACCGTGCCGAAGAAAACCTCCCTACTGGAGGGCTATACCATAGGCATAGTAATACTAGATCAAGCATGTTCTCTTTTAAGCAATGAAGGTTGGGTAGAAAAGGATAGAAAGTGGGTGTCAACCGTTAGAGAAAGAAAGGTGGACGGCACCTATTTTCTATCTTTTTCTACCTGAGCTTCAGGTCTGGTGTCTCGTGCTCAGTCTAGTATTACTATGTCTATGAGCTATATCCCTAAAAGGGTGTAGTGTGGCAAGATACTTTCGGTGGTCGCCACTTGCCTTCGGGAGATTCCGAAAAAACCCAGCGGTGTCCATGGATTTGAACTCGGATCTTTTCGTTCATTTGTTTACTAAGCAGCGCACATTTCTCCGCGCCACACTCGCCAACTATATTCAGCGCGTTTAATTATAATGCACGTTGCACATTTATAATATTACGCAATGAAGAACAGACGACTGGGACGTTTTACGTGCAGCGTAACAAGTTGAAATTCCTATTTTAAAAAGGACAGTGGAAAGGAGAGGTCTATTTATAGCTTGCGCGATAAAAATTTCCCATTATAAAGCGGAGCGGACACTGAATGTTCCGTAATAAACAGCGGCTTTCTTGGCGAGGGTCCCATTGTGAATTTTCAAGTCGCGTTGCTTATTGATCTAAAGCCGAAGGGGTTTGGGTTACACATTCGCTCGCTCCACAAATACGTCGTCGCTCATTCGGTTCATCTCGCGGTTCAAAGGTTTCAGGCGCGGACCCCGGATAACGCATAAATAATCGGCGGCCGATGGCGGCGCGTCGCGATAAAACTGGACGTCGCGTGCGCCCGACGTAATTGGCCTTTTATTAGCAGCGCATTAACACTCGCGTACCTACGGAATCACGTTCGCGCTGTTCCGCGTTTCGATTAGCTACGCGTCGCGTCGATTTACCCGCGATCTCGACCGAGCGGCACAATGGTCGTTAAATCCCGTATAATCACTCGGGCGTAATGTCGCGCTCGGCCTCCCCGAAAGGCAAAAATTCCGATTCGCCGCTGCGCCTGCCACAATGCCGGAAATGTATTTTCTTCTCGGTTATTCGCAGCCATTCGTTACAGCCGCCGGTACTTTATACGAATTTCGCAATTTATAAACGTTGGCAATTTATAATAATAAAAGAAATAAACAAATTCGTTGGCGCGCCGCGACCCTATGACAATAATACGCAAGGGACCCTTGCGCCTTCCAATTCCGGAAATTTATTTTGTTCCCGATTATTTGTAGCGACAATTTATATCACCGCTTCTGGCAATTTAAAAATATAGAGAGTCCTCTATTATGAGATAAATTTCTAATATGAGACAGCAGGTTTTCAACACCCAAATTCAATCACAAATCTTTTTTTCGCAACGACCTGACACGATCTGACAATGAATTTTCCACTGAGCAGATTTCCAAGCAATAAATTCATGGTGGAATCAACTGATGATGCCTATTACTTTAACAGAAACCCTGTTAACCCATATTAGGATCCTATCTCATAATAGACTTCCCTTTATAGGTGATTTATGGTGATTGTTTGAATTAGGCGGTAGGCCGGGCTAAGATAGTGATTTTTAATCATTAATAACTCGTTAACTATTGCGAAAAATGCAAAGTGTTGGAGGGCTTTTCGACTCAATCTAGTCCGCTCAATCCGTAAATAAAAGTTGAGGCGGGTTTTACAGAACACCCTGTATAATAATAATAATTTGTTAGAGGGTCGTAAGGAAATTTTAATGATAGTAACAATGCGCAAACCTTCTAAGATTTTGGTACGTAGATTTAAAAAAGTAGGTAGACATCGTCTGTCTCTTTTCATCAGTTTCTTCGAATGCGACTTTGCCAAAAATGGGACTGCGGCAATCGTGCGAATGGACAACAACCTTTATACCTCCGGTACAGGTGAAAGGGTGTGAGCTTGAGATCCGTGTGAATTTAAACGACTCCACTACGTTCGAGAAGCTTTTATTTTATATTCAAATATTCGCTTATTATGTCACGAGATATGTATTATACATACCTGAACTTCTAAGGCATGGTAAGCAAATATGAGGCCAAGCAGTATCACAGTAGACACAGAGATCAGGGTTTTCAGTGCTGTCGAGAAAAACGAGGCCTGCAACATGAACAATTTTCACGGGTAAATACCTGTGGATTTGCAATGAAATGTATTCTATTGTATACATCTATTTATTTTTATATCTATTTCTATATCCGTAATTAATTGTATGTATAATAACTATAAATGTTTAACATGACTGTTGATTCCATTAATGCGAGATATTATTTCTTCTATTATTTAACCGTGTTAAATACGCGTTGTTTGCGTAAATTAAATAAAGGAAATGTGTGTTTTAAAAATGATAGCTATTTCTATCGGTCGAAAAAGACATTGGGATAAACAATCGTTATTTCAGCATTTACTATCGATAATTATCGATTACAGACACTCGACTATCGGCGAATAAGTTGTCGAGTTTCGGCAATTGACTTTAAAAACAGGGAACTGTGAACTTAACCGTTAATTGTCTACTTCTTAGATGCGAAATAATGAAACATGCATACACCTTTTACATCTTTGTAAAGTCGCTTGTTGGCGCATCGTAAAAGTCAAGTACGGCGCTTCTAACAACGGCGTTCGATTTACGACTCGGCCAGCAAAGGCGCAAACCCCTTTAACGATCGTAAAAAATGTCAGCGTGAAAAGAGCGTTTTAGAAAAAGAGAATCTACTTTTCACCCTCTCTAGAGAAACTCTAGGAATATTACATAGTGATGTTGCAAAGCAATAAAATATATTGCTTGTTTAAATGCGCCTTAAATCATTTAAATCACTGTATACATGATATTTCTACAAATTCTTACGGCGTTTTGAACGCCATTTAATGTTTTACATCGGCCAGAATATATCAAGCTCAAGAAAACAATACAACAATTATCAAAATGCCTAATGTGGACATCGCTGTTAATTAGCCGTCAATAAATTGGTGCGAATATCTTTGTATTAGATAATATAGTAGTGTATTAGATAGATACAGTACTTTATCAGAGATATTACATATTTCATTACTTTCTTCCGTTTTTCCTACACGGAAAGAATTTTCTCTTAAAATTTATCCTGAAAATTTTGTAATCGTAGGACAACATGGCATTTTGAAGAACTTTATGAGAGTTTTCTTAAATTTCACCATATATTTTATTAATAAAATGTATACTAAGTATAATTACTAGTAAAATGTATGGTAAAATTTCTCTCATAAAATTCTTCGAAATGCCGCGTTATTCCACGATTACACGACTTTCAGGATAAATTTTAAGAGACAATTCTCTCCGTGTAGAGATTTCAAAATACTCGCGCACAATTTACGAACAGATTGCGAATTCTTTTAATTCCTACGCGAACACCTGTTCGCGAACAGCCAGCGAACTGTTAATACACACGGTTCGCGGTTGGTTATTTTTAATTTATTCGGTCGCTCTAAGAGCGGCGAGATTAAAAAGAGCGACAAACGCACAGTGACCATTGGTGTGGAGAGCACGTTCAGTTTTCGCAGATGTTCGAGAACTGATCACGAACAGATTACACTGTTGGCGAACAGATCGCACTATTGGCGAACAGCTCGAGCAGTGTTCGCGATCAATTCTCCAGCACAGCTCGCGAATTGTCTTTCGATGAATCGCACTCTTACATGGCGAACGGAACACTGAGAAAAATTTTTATCGGACAAACCAATTAAGGGGTCATTCCACTTTAACGGCCCAAAAACTACGCTTATCTTTAACAATTTTGTTCACGGTAAATACATCATATAATGAAATAAGTCTTTTTGAGATTTATCAGGGCACTCTTATATGACACAAAAAATTTGTGTCACAATTTAAACAATTTTTTGGAGTTGATTAAGGGTACCTTAGTAAATCCCAAAAAGATTTATTTCATTGTATGGTGTATTTATTGAAAAAAAAGTTAAAGATAAGCATGGTTTTTGGTCCGTTAAAGTGGAATGACCCTTTAAATGGTGTGTCTAATGGTTAATTTTTCCAATTACGTTTACCGATTAAATTATGGATACATCTGATAAAATATGCTTGAAAAACCGATCGCAGTTTTCATCGGATATACAATTTAATCGGATATATCCGTTTGTTATTGTGTAATTGTGGATTATCCGATTGTATTCAATCGGACATTTTTCTCCGTGAAGAAATAAACATTACGTATAAGAAATGATTTGTAGAAAAATGGTAAAAAGAGCGAGAGTACTCTCGGATCTCTCGTCACTAACCGTGTCGACTTTTTCCACGTCACGTCGGTTAAGGATTAAGATCGCGTTAAAATTACAGCGTAAAGTGCTATGCGCGCTTTATATCGCACGCTATAAATCTCAGGATTTTATCTTCCTGAATTTACTGCGGCTCCCTGACGTTCAAAATTTAAGAAGGCTAATTCCTGACGAGGTACATCGCGACGTTTGCCGTCGCTTTTAGTTTCGCTAATAGTGGCGGCGCGTTATTTACGGCAGCCCGAGTCGCGTAGCGTAATTTCCGCTGTGCGTAGTCGAATGCGCTCCCTTTGTCTGCCTACGCCGCGTAATCCCGCGCGATACGCAGCGCGCCGGGCGAATTTAAGCTCGCTTGAGATGTTTGCCCGAGTTTCAAGTTTACACGGAGCGTTTCGTCGCCTCCTTTTATCAACGAGCTCTTTGACCAATTCGAGGCACATTTTAGCTCAGCGGCAAGTAATTAAGGGGATACTGGAGTAATTCTGCACTTTTGGCACCTTTTGCTCCCAGAACTGTCAATTCGTGATTCGTCAATAAGTTATAGGTTAGGTAACCTATAACTTATTCGAATGAATAGATTTTTTTAGGCTTCTAAGCTTAATTTCAATGATACCATGCTGTTCTCTCATTTAGTCTGAATAGTGGAACAGTGTCGGTTCGTACACAAAAGCCACATAATTTGTATATATATTACACAGATGTTTTCATGAATTGGCAGTTCTAGGAGCAAAAGGTTACCTAACCTATAACCTATAACCTAACCTAACCTATAACTTATTCAAGTGAATAGACTTCTTGTTAAGCTCCTAATGTCAATGATACTGCTGTTCTTTGACTTAATCTGAATAGTGGGACACTGTCGGTCTGCACACAAAAGCCACATAATTTCTATATTATGTTACACAAATGTTTTCACGAATTGACAGCTCTAGGAGCAAAAGGTGCCGAAAGTGCAGAATCACTCCAGCATCCCCTTAAGGCTTGATTAAAATTCGTCGCCGGCAAGACCAAGTCGATCGAAAAATAATTATAACGGCACGGACAATTTGTAATTGGGAAACTGTATCGGGATAACTGCTGTTCTCGTTAGTCCGCGTTTCCGAGGATCTGTAATGAGGAAACTGTTCCGGGGATAGCTCCGGTGCTTCTTGCATGCATACACGTATGCATAGTTCATTTCGCGTTGGTATGAGAGCGGTTTACGAGATTTTCGGTGAATTGTGGATCGCAATAACGAGCTGCTTTCCGGAAGAACGACGACGACAAGCTCGCTGGCTGGGCAAAGCCTCTTTCCGCCGTGTAACCTGGAAAAGGGATTAAGGGCTCGCAAGAAACGGAGGGAGCCAGCCTGAAACGTCGGTTGCTCTTCGCGAATTTTCCTTTACGAATCTCAAAGACAATACCCCCTCGCGAAGTGTGTTTAAACTTGAACGATTTTATTATGAGCTACTCGCGTAATCATGTTTCAAACATCAAAAGGGTATTCTCATTATGAGGAAGGGGATTTAATACGCTATGGTAAATAGGAAGGAAGAGCTGGAGAGAATGGAGAGATAAAAATGTAAACGTCCTCTCCGTTAAACAAGGCTATGAAACTTCGCGCTGTCGCTTTCGCCTGATTTTTATTCGACTCGCCGCATAACAATCTTTCCGACATTGTCGCCAAGTATTCACGTCTGTCAGATAAAAATTCTGGTCGCTGTATAAGTGGATCATGGGATTAGGGTAAGGTGTAAGGGAGAAATCTATTTCCGCCCGGCCTTACGAGTTGATCCTGCGAGTGTTACGGCGTTCGCGTAGGGATGCGAAATCGCTATCGCGTGATTATACGGTGTCGTAATCAACGTAACAAGCTGTAAAATTTGTGCGCGCGACCGTCATTGTTCCGGGACTCCCCGTCCGATGGCACACGTTTGCGTCTCGGGTAAATAATTACGGCGTGCGCGTTTCAGCTGAAATAATTACGAGCAAAAACTTCTCCCTTTGCCGAGATTACTTTGCCGGAAATTATTCGACGTGCGTTTCGCGAAATATTACTCGAAATGGCCCGCATCAGCTGTTTTGCATTTAATTTTGAACAGGATATTCGAGACAGAATAACTGCAGCAAGAATTATGGGTAAATATAACGGATGTTTTTTCCGACTACTCCTATGAGATTGAGAGAAAAGTCGGAACAAAGTTGAACACTTTGATTGCGAAGCTGATTAAACCCTCGGAGGTCCAAAGCCGAGAAATGCACCGCTGTTTGTAGAATGTCCAAAGTCAAATTACAAAATAAATTATACAGAAAAATAACCAAAACAAAATGTAAATGATATAAAAAATATATTACATTTTATATATTAACATTACATATTATTTTTAATAGAGGAAAATTCTCTATTATGACATCCTCGCTATGGGATAGCAAGGTTTCTGTTAAATTAATAGGCATCATCAGATTTGCGATTAAATTTGAACGTTGAAAACCTACTATCTCGTATTAGAATCCATCTCATAATAGAGGACTCCTCTATAGGTAAATTAGGCCCTTTTGTAATTTTATTTCTTTTTCATCTTTTATTCGAACGCCTCGTAAGACCTAAATAATCCGATCGACGCGAAGAAACAATTTAAATTGAATTGAACAAAATTGATTGTTAGATTGTGTAAGCGTTGCGAAAAAAGATTTGTGATTGAATTTTATTCGAACGCTTCGTAAGACCTAAATAATCCGATCGACGCGAAGGAACAATTTAAATTGAATTGAGCAATTGATTGTTAGATCATGTAATCGTTGCGAAAAATGATTTGTGATTGAATTTGGGTGTTGAAAACTTGCTCTCTTATTAG